CCCCAAAACCCCAAAACCCCATCAAGAGTTTTTGTTCATATTGATGAATTGTCATGTTTCATATGATAAACTTAAGTATCATTTTGTTAGAATTATATCAATACTATATCTTATTTTTAAAATGGAATCAAATCAATCAGACTATACAATGAAAGAAATGATTGCGCAAAAGCTAAAAGATTAGGGTAAAGATTCAGCTCACAATTCTGATGAAGAGGAAAATGATGATCAGAGAAACTCAAGAGAAGCAAGATAAGATTAAAAACAAGAGTAGGTTATTGAGTACAGTTATTTGGGCAAGGATTGCACTTTTGATAATGATGCTGAGGAAATTGAATACTCTATGATATACAGAATACCCAAGATTGAGAACTTAGAGAATTGCGTCAACTTACAGAGACTGGGGCTTAGAAAAAATTTAATTAAAAAGATTGAAGGTCTTGATAACAATTTAGCATTAACACATTTGGAACTATATGATAACAGAATCAAAATCATTGAGAACATTTCTCATTTGACTAATTTAGTGATGCTTGATCTTTCATTTAATCGTATCACTGATATTAGTGGTCTTGATTCTTTGGTTAACTTAAGAAAGCTGTTCTTAGCATCAAACAGAATTAGTGATATCTCTGGTTTAGATTTCTTAGTAAACTTAGAAACTTTGGATTTGGGTGATAACAAGTTGAAGAAAATTGAAAATCTTGATAGACTCTATAATCTGACGGAACTCTACGCAGCCAAAAATAAGCTGACAGAAATTTCTGGATTGGACAATCTTAAAAATCTTATGATTGTTGCTCTATAGGCAAACTTTATCTAAAGACTCTCTGGAGTTGATCACTTAGAATCGCTTGAAGAACTATATCTCCAGTAAAATGAAATTTCAAAGATAGAAGGCTTAGATTCCTTAACTAATCTAAATACACTTGATCTGGCTTACAATAGACTAGAAAAAATTGAAGGTTTGGATAATAACTTTTAGGTAACAGAGCTTTGGCTTAATTACAATAAAATTGAAGACAATGATAGCTTGAATTATCTCAATAGATTCAAAAAGCTTGAAACCATTTATGTTGCTGACAATCCTATAGCTAAAAATGAGCATTTTATGGATAATTTGTAGAAAGCCGTGCCAACTCTTAGGCAAATTGATGGTTATGTACTTAGACCAGGAATTACTTTTAAAATGATGTAGAATGTCAATGTGAAACCAATTACCAAGAAGGAAATGAACCCAAAAGTAAAAGAAATACTTGAAGATGTGACTAAGATGCAATAATGAATGATGATTCAATTGATTTTAAGACTCATACTTAATTTTTGATTCCATAACCATTTTTAATTAATTTTTCTAGCTCGTCTCTTGATTCATTGATAATAGGACATTAGGGGTTTTGGGGTTTTGGGG